GATTTGATGGTCCTATGTCTGATTTTGTGGCATTATATTAGTTTTACTGTTCAAATTACCCCACAAAGGACTTCCATTTGAGAAAGCAGACACTCCAGGGTATCTTGTATGGCGTATATTATTCCTTAACTTGCCCCAGCCTTTTCACCTATTTATGCCAGTTAGTGGTGAAAATAAAAATGACATTTTTTTTACAAACATGTGGCATATTTGCAGGGTATGTTGTACATTTGATATGTGCCACTGTGCTAAAATCCCCCCAAATATGCTATGTTACACCTTAACAATCTAAAACAATATGTCCAATGTAAGACTTAGACCATAGGCGTGCGCAGCCTATTGCATTAGGGTGTGCACCCTAAAGCACAAACACACGCCGCGCGCGTGTGTGTGTGTGTATATATATATATATATATATATATATATATATATATATATATATATATATATATATATATATATATATATATATATATACACATATATATACATATATATATGTATATATATATTCACAGACACACACACTCACAGAAACACACACATACTCACAGACACACACACTCACTGACACATACTCACACACTCACTGACACACACACACTGACACACACTCACAGACTCACAGACACATACTCACACACTCACAGACACACACTGACACACACACTGACACATACTCACACATTCACTGACACACACACTCACAGACACACACTGACACACTCACACACTCACACTGACACACACACACTCACACACACACACACACACACACACACACACACACACACTCACACACTCACAGACACACACACCACAGACACACCGACACACCCACCGACACACCACAGACACACTGACCCGCCACACACCCACACACCGACACACACCCCACAGACACCGGGACACACACACCCACACACACCGACACACACACACTCACTGACACAGACACATACCCACACACTCACAGACACACACCGACACACCCACAGACACACACTGACACACACACTGACACACACACACACACACACAAATTATTATATTTTAATTTTTCTTTTAAATGTCCACCCAGCCTCCTACCTGGAGTGCTGGTGGACTTGTCCCTGGGGTCCAGTGGGGGCGGGCGCCTCTCTGCAGGTCAGCGCGCGGCGAGGGAGCTCTCTGCTCTCTGCTCCCTCTCGCCGCGCGGGCTGTCTGCTGGAGCTGGGAGCCGGAATATGACGTCATATTCCGGCTCCCGGCATGAGCTGCAGGGTGGGGGGGGGGAATCATCACCTCTTGCCCTCCCATGACAGGGGCAAGAGGTGAAACAGGGGGCACTGAGTGCCTGCAGGAACAGCGTTCCTGCTCAAAAGAGTGCAGGAACGCTGTTCCTGCAGGACTCAAACCATAGGGGTGCGCACGGGGATTAGGGTGTGCCCAGGCACACCCGGCACACCCCGTGCGCACGCCTATGACTTAGACACTATTTTGTGAAGTTACAATGCTGTAAAAGAGACATGACAAGCTCAGGTTTTTAAGTTGGAATTTTCAGGGATGGGATTGATATGTCTGTATTTGATTTTGGAGTAGTTTAGCAGGTTATTCAAACTACCCCACAAAGTCCTACTATTTCTTAAAGAAAACACACAAGGGTGTTTCAATAGGCATTTTAAACATTAGCATGTGATAATTTTTTTTAATGCAGAAAGTGTAGCGGTAATAAGCATTTTTTTATTTTGTATATTTGTTGTGCATGAAAGTATCACAAACAGGCCTGAGGTACCCCAACAGCATTCCTCAGGCTGGGCATCACGTATTACAGTTGGGTAACAGATAAGACTTGCACATTTTTATAATATTACAACAGGACTAGAATCATAACCAGAGGCATAGAGGTTGAGAGTGGAACATGTAAAATAATCACGTTAATGCTACTATACCTCTTGGATGCCTCCACTCCCGTTCAGCCTGGGAGTTTTGCAGGGCCCACTGATGAATCTGAGATTATGGCATCACAGATCGCCGGGGACCTGGGATATCCCCCGCCGATCCACGGGGGGTGGGTGGGTAGCGATGTGCGATTGTTCCTCCGCCAGCCAGAGAACCGGGATAGTGGCTGTCCCTCCTCAGCTCCCACCCGTTCAGGCCGCAGGTCACGATTCGGACAGCTCAGCTATGGAGAACTTTGAGTCAGGTATCCCCGGGTGCAGTGCCGTCCCCTGGTCACTAAAATTGCTGTTTGCAGCTAGGATGATCGGGTGGTCGGGCAGTAAACCCAGAATCTTGGCCCCTACTTTTACTTTTTTAAAACATTTTTTCCTGTTAACCCTACTTGCCCCACATTTTCAACTAACTTTAACCCAGCCCAGATAACTAAATAATTTAAAATATTTAAATAACTAATTAGATGAAATTAACCCCTGAGGGTTTAAAAAAAAATAAAAAATCAGATCACCGTAAAATAATGTGATTTGTATTTCGATCACTGCTGGCAGTGATCAATTGGTAGTGAAAGGGTTACATTTTATTAGAATGGGGTAAGGGGAGGGATGGGATGTTTTACTAACACTTTTTATGTTTCATGGAGAAGCAAATGAGCACTGATCTGTCTCCCTCCACTTCACACTTCACACGGAGGTGGATTGGTAGTTTCTGCAGCACATGTGATAACATGAACTGGTACATTGTTATTGACTGCTACTTGTCTTCCTTGAACACTGAGGCAGACTGCAGCAGCATTGACCCCATGATTGCTGTTATTTGGGTGATCCAGAGTTAATTTAAGTAAATGACAGAAATTTTCTGTCCCACGTCCTTAAGGGTAATTCTGCAATGATGGGCATCGCAAATGGGTTAACTCTTAAATTGAGCAGTGAAACTTCAGAGGCATGATCTATACATTAAAACTGCTTGATTAAACTCAAGTTGTTTTTAAGACTATAGTTTCCCGTTAATGTATATTTACACAACATTGCCCCAGATACTGGGATATAGGGTTATGTTAATGGATGGTTACATCACATGGCTCCAGATAATGGGATCTACAGTTATATTAACTGCTGTTTTGGTCTGAATTTTTTTTAAATTTTTTTTTTACTCCACACAGTGGGAGTCTGCTCTTTCAGTTCACTTCTATTTACTGGACATTGTGACACATTTAGCTGTGATTATTGCTGAGTTGGGCAATCTTTCTGTATTGGACACTGTTGTCTACATTTTTAGATTTTAATTAATTGCAATTACAGGGTTATTCAGTGAATTGTCAGCAATTTTCCAGGGAATTTATAGGAGGCTGAGCTAGAGACATAACTGACTTACAGTTTAGCACTCTTAGTCTAAAGCAGGGGTAGGCAACCTACGGCACTAGTGCCATGCACGGCACTCAAGGCTGCTAGAGCCAAATAGGCCCTGGCCTATCAGGAGTCCCAGTAAAACTTCAGATATCTGCTAATACAAAGAGGTGGTGAAGGACAATCCTCAATTTATGCATTGCAGCACGTAGAGTAAGTGATCTCAGAGCACTTCATTCCAGCACTTGTGAATGGGAATCCACACAGTAGTAGAGCAGCCTGCAGCTGCTGTTACTGCTCCTGTCCTTGACCTGTACCTGGCCGGCCTGGTCCCCACTGGAACCCAGGGAAGCCACCCACACTGCTAGATATACACAGAAATGCAGAAAGACCCTCCCCTCATACAAATAATACGGACAGCCCACACACAAACATACACACAATCCACTAACTAACAATCCACATACATGCACACAACCTCACATGCAGCCTCTCACATGCTATACTACCAAACACACAATGTGACATATCCATCCACACACACAATTCCACAGGCTGCCCCCATACACAGCCCACATTCATATGTATCATACACGATACCACAATCTACTCATGAACATATACAATATAAGAGCTCATATACGCACAAATACAACGATACAAAGCAATTACAGTATAAATAACACAAGCAGAATACGGCAGCATACACACCAATTTAAAACAATAGGACCAGCATGCTACGGGACATCACAATCCTATATCGGCACAGTGCTGCTAAAAGGTTGCCTACCCCTGGTCTAAAGTTTGAAATTCCCTGTATGTACGTCAACAGGATTAGTCACTACAGTGAGAATTACTGGGCGTTCAAAAAAAACACAACTGACTTGAAGAATTTGTCTGTTTTTGCTATTTTGTCCTACATTTTTAAAGGGATACTATTGGCATCAAAATGTGAACACCTGACAATTCAAACTTTGCTGAATGATCCTTCATAGTGACTGAGCCTGACTGTATGATGGTAAATTGTCAATGGAAAATGATCTCTAAAACACCAAATAAATTCTTGTACTTTTTGTAGGTGATAAGACGAGCCAGCGTCAGGAACCTGTGGTCATCCTACTGGGATGGGGAGGATGTAAAGACCGTCTTTTGGCCAAATATAGCACCATCTACCATAAGCAGGTAACTACTGCCATAGACCTATATGTATGGAATATACATTCAAAGAGTAACAAGTGTGTTGGATATTTTTCAACCAAGCTTATACATATCGGCTATTTAACAGATTCTAATTTCAGTTCACCAAAATTCAATGTCTAGAAAACACCATTGTATTTAATTAATAACCAATTTCTGACATCAAACTTGGGGAATGTCATGCAAATGATAGAGCACCATAACCACTACAGCCAATGGAAGCTGCTTAGAGGACCCCAGGTAAATTATCAGGCTGTTCTTAAGTGGTTGAATTTCTTGTGCTGGAAGTGGACTGTAGTGGTTATGCTGCTTAGAATGTTCCTTAAACCACTCAATATCCGGTAGAATGAAATCTTCTCAGTGTGAGATATACTTAGTACCTGATGCTCTCCCTCTTCTGGACAGCCGTGTTTTCGTCTGCCATTTTTTGGTCTGTCTCTTAAGCGCATGTCCGCTTCAGGTTCCAGGAGCCCTGTCTTTTATGTATTCTTGCACATGCATGCAAGTATAAAATAAGGACCTATGGAAAAACCTGCAAAGTGTGGGAATCTTCCATAGATTGTCTTGCGCATGCACTGTATAGATGTCATAGGTATCTCTTGCGCATTGTGTGAGAATTTCATATGGGCGAAATGGATATCCTACCAGTACACCTATAAATGCTGACAAGTGGATAGGTTGCTACATTTAGGGATACAAAATAACATTGTTATGGTAGTCTACGTATAAATGTATCTAATAGGGCTGGTGGAATACTTTAAAAGCCGAGGTGCCACAGAGTGCCCAGGACTTGTCTCCCTCTGGAACTATTTCAGAGAAATGAATTATTACATGGTGACATTGTTTTAATAGGAGCACAGGCTTGCATCATATGGCTCTCAGATATGTCTGTCTGTAAAATACCAATTTTGACATTTCCACTTTTCCCTTGCACAATATACTGAACACATCAGGTCTTATGCTTCTCACATGGAAGTAACGCAATGCAGTTTTGCAATTTGTTCGTTCTTTAAATTGCTTAACATAGGTATAACGTCCAAGCTAATTAGCTTTATGTTTTACAAGAAAAAATGGTTCAGACATTTTATGGGGCTCATTTTCTTAGCTGGGAATTGTTGCAAGGTTTGGGCCAAATTAGCCAAAATAAATGAGCTGCATAATATTTCCAATGTGGCAATTTTGGCCTCAAACTTGTAATTCCCATGACAATTCTTCATAATGCCCAATTTACTTTTTAAGTGCTTATATATCCCTTTTCCTTATCCATCTTAGTGTTTCCTCATATATTTTTAAATAAGAATTGTAGCCCTATGTACAACTTTCCATATTGCAGAATATTTCTTAGTTAGGAACCCATATTGCATCATCGACTGTCTACCAAATCCAGTACTCTTGGGCAGATAAAGCTGGATGTGTGCCTTCAGAATTCATGCGATTTATGGGACTTGTAGTTTTAGTCATTAAAGGGACTCTCCACACCCCTTGCTGAAGTGCTCGGCAGTCAAACAGACAGCAGGTTTTATTACTTCTTGGTCGTTTAGCTTAGTGGAGCACCTGCCTTGCAAAGACTTCTCATTGGACAGCCACAGAAAGTCAGAGCGGGTTTACAAGGGGTGGACAAAGGCAAAAGCTGTAGACAAGAGATGTGCAGTTTATTTTAATATTTTTATTTTTACAGTGCAGTGACATTTTCAAAGACAGGAGTAGACATCATTGGGGTGAGCTGCGTTCCTCTTACCCATGCTACTAAGTAGGCATCAACTAGGCCTCAGAGCTCTATCGAGTGTCCTACACCAGACGTGGTCAGAGATGCTCATTGAGTCCTCCTCTTGATCCCCCAGACTAACAATGGAAATGTCAGGTGTTAAAACGGTCAGCAAATCTGTTACTATTAGGAAAGTCTAGTTTTCTCCTTGAGCTCAGCTAATCTGTATCCAATCAGCATGGAAGTCAGGCCCCATCCTGGATCTGCAGCTTCTGCAAGCTGTTTTTAGATATACCGTTTTTGATATAAAATGCATAATTAAATGCATGCATATATTCATTGAGGTTCATATCTACTAAATAGTGAGTTTTATTTTTATATTTGGGCAGTGGAGTGCCCCTTTCACCTGGAAATGCTGGAGTACAAACCGAGTAATTGCAAGTTTTTGTTCAAAATAATTCAAAAATCTTTTCGCTCTCTTAATAAGTTGCAATTCCTTTTGTTAATTTTCCACATTACAAAATCTAGGGAATAAATTGCTTTGCTGTTTTGATGTGCATTCGAGTGTGCATAGTGTTATATTGATTTATTAATTGCACGTCTTTCACTAATTTTCCATCTTTTCGTTTACATAGGGTTGCTTTGTCATCCGATACACAGCTGCATGGAGGACCGTCTTCATCTCCGAGTCTTTTGGATTCAGTACTCTTCGGGAACAGGCAGAAAAACTCCTCAAGCTGCTTTTTGATTATAAATTGGAAAAATGCCCTGTTATGTTCCATGTTTTCAGCAATGGTGGCTTCATGCTGTACCGCTATATTTTAGAGCTACTTCATTCTCATCGCCAGCTGAGCAAATTGCACGTTGTAGGGACTATCTTTGATAGTGCCCCAGGCAACCGCAACGTGCGCGGCTCAGTTAGAGCCCTGAACGTCATCCTTAAACCCAACACTAATGTTTTACTGCGATTCCTGGGGCTTGCCGCTTTTTGCCTTATGGTAATTGTGGTGAGGATTATCTTGTACCCACTAACCAGACTCCTCCATGAGAATCACTATGACGCCATGAAAAAGGACACTTCGCCTTGGCCACAGTTGTATCTTTACTCAAAAGCAGATCCCATCATCTCTTACCTCGATGTGGAGAGTATGATAGCTTTGCGCAGGTCTAGGCAGCTGCCGACTAAGGCGTTCGACTTTGAGAAATCGGAGCATGTAGAGCATTACCGAAGGTACCCGGAGAGGTACTCTGAGATCTGCACTTCCTTTTTAAAGGACTGTCTCGTTGAAGCCAAGGGCTCTTCTGTTCATGATTGAGCTGCCTCTCTCTTAGTTAATTGACCACTTGTTGAAAACCGTCATGGCAGTAATTGTAAAAGAAAAAAAAAGAAAAAACTGTTAAATGTAGTGGTGATGGCGCAAATGTTCTTTGAGCGCCACCCCTCCTCCCCCCATCTTCTTATGGAACTTAAACCCTGGCTCGTGCAAGCATGACCAGCCATGTTATTCAGCAAAGATGGGCTGCAAACATTAGCCTGCCCCTACACCAAAGTTGGGCAGGTGATTTGTGTGTTTGTCTTTACATTATCTGCATCGTAGTAGAAAGGGTGGACCAAAAGTACTGAGTGTTCCACAGTTTTTGGGCAGCGGCATCCACAGAATCTTTGCGCCATAACTGCTGCAATGAGCTACAGTAGTTCTGGTACTCAAAGTGCCTCTTTAACATTTAATACTTTTGCCTTATCTAAGTTGTGTTGTCATGAGCTGTTCACCCCTCTAGCAGAGAAATTGTTAATGAATAACCTGACACACACAAACCTGTGATTTGATTCTCTGTTTAGTTATTTTGGAGAAGGGGTGCTGAAATTCCTGATCCCCAGCTATTGATGAACTACAAATCCCATTATCCTTTTCCAGCAAAAAATGAAGACGGCAAGTGGCTTCCATACATTCACAGGAGTTGTATTTCACAAATCGCTGGGGATTTGTATTTTGAAATGAAGGCTTTATTGAAACAGGAAAACTGACTAATATTTAGTTTATGTAAGAGGAATACACACAAGTACACTTTGTACAGAGCAACAGAAATCAGGTGTATGTCAACTACTAACAATATCCTGTATTAAACTTCAAAGAAATTATCAGTGTTTATAACTCCTGCAAGATTAGCTGTGAAATAAAATGTCATTGTAATTCTGAGCTTCTTTTTCCTGGGGGGGATCTCGTTTGAAGATAAAATATTGCAACTGTGCCATGTATTGGGTGAAAAGATAACTTTTTTAAAAGTAGAAATATTACATGTGCATCGGTGCCATCTGTTGGTTATTCCATTTTGATATGGTTTTAGCAGTGCTAGTGTCTAAAATGGCAAGTTAACCACATTAAAACCACAGTACAGTTCTATAAGGTATGAAACATGTTTTTTTTTTTTAAAGTAACATTTAATTAATCCAATCTTACAGCTCTGGTCAACATCAACAAAGTTTTTAGTTACAGATAAAAAACAACAACAACTACTTTGGAGTACAAACAGAAAGAGATAGTGGTGAGCCAATGATTCTAGAGAACACTTATAAATGGGGGTAACCCTTGAAAACTTAAAGGACCACTATAGTGCCAGGAAACCATACTCTTTTTCCTGGCACTATAGTGCCCTGAGGGTGCCCCCACCCTCAGGGACCCCCTCCCGCCCGGCTCTGGAAGGGGGAAAGGGGTAAAAACTTACCTTTTTCCAGCGCTGGGCGGAGAGCTCTCCTCCTCCTCTCCACCTCGGTTACGCCCCGCCGGCTGAATGCGCACGCGCGGCAAGAGCTGCGCGCGCATTCAGCCGGTCTCATAGGAAAGCATTTACAATGCTTTCCTATGGACGCTGGCGTGCTCTCACTGTGAAAATCACAGTGAGAAGCACGCAAGCGCCTCTAGTGGCTGTCAATGAGACAGCCACTAGAGGAGTAGGGGGAAGGCTTAACCCATTCATAATTATAGCAGTTTCTCTGAAACTGCTATAATTATGAAAAAATGGGTTAACCCTAGAAGGACCTGGCACCCAGACCACTTCATTAAGCTGAAGTGGTCTGGGTGCCTAGAGTGGTCCTTTAAACAAAACTAGGGTATAACAATAAAGTGGATCCCAGAAGTGAACTAGTACATAGTTGTTCTTAAATACATACTAATTATCAGAAAGTGTGTATATATATATATATATATATATATATATATATATATTACCGTATTTATACCGTATAAATCGAGAAATTTTAGTTGTAAACTAGATTTTAAAACGCAGAGTCAACTTATCCACGGGTCAGTGCTAGTTTCAATAGAATTTCGACATCCCAGCTGTTCAGGAAGTTGAACAGGCAGGGGTACAAGAGTCAGCGGGGTTCGCAGGCTTGTGTAGCCGACTCAGAGATCCATGTGCCGCTGCCTGCGTTCGGGAGACAAGATTGCTTGAACATGTGCGTTCACATATACGATTGTCGGCCACCCAGGGAATGCTTGTTTGTGGTTAACAGCCAGGGGTGGTTAGTGTTAACAAGGGGGACCACACAGTCTGTTCGTTAACCTAACAGAAGGGGAACAATTCCATTTGAACACAGTACAGTAACCGAACAGAAGGGGAACCATTCCATTTGAACACAGTACAGTAACCGAACAGAAGGGGAACCATTCCATTCGAATGCAGTACCCTCCACTTATCCATGAGGCCGAAAAGATTGACTTATAGATGAATATATACGGTAGATAAGGCAAATTTATTAAAATAACAAACGTTAATGATTATCCATTTAAAAGGAACATCAAAAAGTTAAAAATCCATGTTGGAATGGATATAATCACTGAGTGGCTCTAATAAATTACTATACTTGTGACCCCTTATGGAGGAGCTCAATAGCTCTATTTAGTTTATAAATGATCATAGCCTGTCATAGTGCTTAATTTAAATTCGTAACGTAATATCAGATTGAGTCCCGGTTAGGAGTTGCCTAAAAAACAAACATAACTGCACATATTCCAGCAAGATCTCTCTCTGTTTCCCCCCTCTGCCTTCCATGCATCCCCACCTTCTGAGACCTGGCAGGAATCCTGCTGCTCCTTGGTCCATGTAATGTCTGCGGAGCTCCGTGTGAGGGGAAGAGGCGAGGTTGAAAGGGGAAATTACCTCACCTCCTGCCCTGCACTCTCCTGCAGAACCTGCTGAAGCCTGGCAGATAGCAGGTAAGTAAATATTATTTGTAAGCTAATATCCTCCTTTACCCATCCCAGACCATGTGCCCCCTTTACACACCCCCTGTGCCCCCCTTCATCCATCCCAGCCCCAGTACGCCCCTCCACCCATCCCAGCACCTCTGCCCCTTCACCCATCCAAGTGCCCCCTTCACCCATCCCAGTCCCAGTGCCCCTTAAATCATCCCAGCCCTAGTGCCCCCTTCACCCAGTCCCTGTGCCCTCATTTTCCTATCCCAGCCCCAGTGCCCCCCTTTACCCATCCCAGCCCCAGTTTCCTAATTTTCCTATCCCAGCCCCTGTGCCCCCCCTTATCCATCCCAGACCATATGCCCCCTTTCACCATCTGAACCTCTATGCCCCCCTTCAGCTATCCCAGTCACTATGCCCCTTTATCCATCTGAGCCCCCTTTCACCCACCACAGCCCCTCTGCCCTCTTTATCCATCTAAGCCCCTATGCCCCCTTCACCCACCACAGCCCCTATGATCCCTTTACCATCCCAGACCCCACTCCCCCTTCACCCACTACAGCCCTATTGCTCTCATTACTATCCCTCCCTGTACCCACCACAGCCTCTGTGCCTTCTTGCACACTCCTCAGCCTCTCTCCCTGTACCCACATCACCCCTATGCCTTCCTGCACCCACTACAGCCCTCATCACTCTCATCTCTATCCTTCCCTGCACTCACTACAGCCCCTATCCCTCACTGCTCCCACTGCAGCCACTATCCCACCACCATCCGTATGCCCCCTGCACCTACTACAGCCCATATCCCCCCTCATGCACTGCAGTCACTATCCACACACATACTGCAGCCTCTGGATCTCCCACACACAGTAGAGCCTCTAGTATTCATACAAACACACACTACAGCCCCAGTAATCCCCACAACACACAACACGAGGCATCCCCAGCATGGCAATACTGCATACAGCCTACATATACACACACACACACACACACATCACAAGAGGCATCCCCAGCATGGCAATACTGCATACAGCCTACATATACACACACACACACACAAACACATCACAAGAGGCATCCCCAGCATGGCAATACTGCATACAGCCTCCTTATACAAACAAACGCAATTATTACAATTACTTATATAGCACCAACATATTCAGCAGTACAGTACAAAAGGTAAAACAAGACAAACATATCATGTTGACATACAAGAAACACATGTGTTTGGAGGCTACTTGTATGGTTGAACATGTGGGGGATGCTGCTTGTGATGTCACCAACAAACACAGAGGAAGGGTGTAATTAAATTTGCTTAATTTCTTTATGGGGGGTTGGGGTAATGCAAGCTAGTAAGGGGTACTCCATTCAAAAACAATGGGTGTCGCGTACATATTATCTGTGTGAGAGCTGCACAAATACCTTGCACCAGGAGGGGCCATGTGAGTTGTCAATCGGCCTCTGAAAATCAGGGTTTCTGCCTAGAGCCCTGAGAAAAGTGTCTTACCCCCAGCCCAAATATTTCCTTTTGTCTTCCCATAGTGAGTGCACAGGCTGTGACCTGTATGTGGCGTATGTAACCTTTTTTAAAAATTTAGTTTATATCAGAACATTATATTTACCTTCTTTTGAAAGACCATAGTCCGTTATCTTCGCAAATCCCTTTTTATCCAGAACAATATTTTCGAGCTTCAAATCTCTAGAATAAAATGTAGAAAAGGAAGTTTGGTTCATTTTACATAACACTAGAAGCACTTAGAATAGCTCTCACTGTTCAGGCTTTTTACTTGGCTAAAATGAATCACTTCATCTAGATAAACTAACTGGGTTAGACAGACTGGGTACCATAACACAAATATCACCGACACTCCGGGTGTAGGTTTTTTCTGTAAGCTTACCTGTGGACAATCTTTTGTTCGTGTAAATACTCAAGTCCAAGGTCGACACATGCAGAATAAAATCTTGGAAAAAAAATTAAATCAATTGCTTTCTGGATGATGCAGTGTTTGTACGATTAAATGGTTTTATTCCATATATCCTAACTCTGTATTCTGACATATTACATTAATTCCCAGGTTCCCACCTTCTCTATCACTGCTGGTGGGTTGTTATGTATGAGCTGATACAATGGTGATTGGTTGTTTATCACTTACAGCTGGTTCCATTCACCAAGGCCTATACTTCCAGAATCGTTAGCCATAGTTGGTGCAGACAGCGGTGTGTGTGGCCAGAAGTAACTGCTCTGGTCCTGCACTGGATAACGGCAAGCGGATGTACAGCAGCTCATAGGATATACATTGATGTATACAATGTGAAGTCATTTGCAAAAAAGAATGTTTGTTAATGACTAATCATGTTTATATGCATTCTAAAATCCATGGTGGGATCAGTCCGCTTTCTCCGTTATATTTCATTACTTGTGACTCAACTTCCTCTCAAACCAAGCCTGGCTCTTTAAAAAAATAAAAATAAAAAAAAAATAAAGTTAAATTCTGTTTTTATTATATTGTTACTGTTTTGATGTAATATGCTTGTTTATGCCAGTTGTTTTATTTTATTTTAACTTCTTTTAACATACCACTTTTGAACTAAATGAACACAGAATTTAAACCCAGTGTGATATCCCAGGATTAATCAATAATCTGACAAGACGTTATGGAAGGTGTAGCCCAGCTCAAGCCATCATCTGTAGAACATTGAATGAGATCTGAATATATGGACACAATGCTGCTTATACTCACACTGCTCTTGGTTGTTATCAAGACATGTTAGTAGGTCGCCCCCTGCTGCATATTCCATAACAAAGCTGGGGTGATCTCGAGTGCGGAAACACCCAAACAAGTTCATAAGGAATGGGTGCCGCCTATTGCTCACAGTCTGGAATATCCGCTTCTCACTCAGAAGGCTGGAAAGGAAAATAAAAATTTAAATATTTTTCTTCTATTCTCCAAAACCAAATGACAAAGAAAGACAGAAACAGGACATTGTCATCTTCACAAACACAAGTTATTAATTACTCCATTCACTGACCCATCAAGTCTGCCCAATTTTCTAAATAGTTTTGTGGCAAACCTAGCCACTTGTAGGATGCTAAACTATCTGTATCAAAAG